TGGCCTCACAAGGGCTGAGTAGAGAGGCAGGATCACCTCCCTTAACCTGCTAGCAACACTTTTCTTTAATACCTCCCAGGATTTCATTTGCCTTCTTAGCCACAAGGACACACTGTTGACTCATGGACAGCTTGCCATTCACCAGAACCCCCAGGCCCTTCTCCACAGAGCTGCTCTCCAGCAGGTCAGTGTTCAATCTGTATTGGTGCCTGGGGTTATTCCTTCCCAGGTGCAGGACTCTGCACCTGCCCTTGTTGAATTTCAGGTGGTTCTGCTCTGCCCATCTCTCCAACCTGTCAAGGGCCCTCTGAAGGGCAGCACAGGCCTCTGTGATATCAGCGACTCCTACCAGTTGTGTAGAGGCATTCTGGTCCCCTCACCCAAGTCACTGATGAGTAAGTTGAACAAAACTGAGGCCAGTATGGAACCCTGGGGGACACCACTAGTGACAGGCCTCCAACTAGACTCTGTGCCACTGATCAAAACTCTCTGATCTGCTGCTCAGCCAGTTCTCCACTTTACTGTCCACTCATCCAACCCACACTTCTTAAAGTTTTCCAATGAGGATTCTGTGGAACACAGTGTCCAAAGCCTTGCTGAAGTCAAGGTAGGCAATGTCCATCCAGGCAGTTGTTTCATCACAGAAGGCAATCAGGTTGGTCAAACATGACTTACCTTTAGTGAACTCATGCTGACTAGTCCTGATCACCTTGTTTTCCATCACAGTCTTCAGCTGCAAGTTCTCTCTGCAGTGTGGACAACAACTCGCTTTAGAAGCAGGCAAAGAACTGCTTCAAGGTGAACTAGCATCAGGTTTTGTTCACTTTAACAAACACATATTATGAGCTGTAGTAGGCAGCCAGCTACTTCAGTTCAGCCATCAAGGAAGCTCATACTGATAAATCTATTTGCTGAAGAAGAAGAGGTTCCTTGAGGCACTGTCAGGGAATCAAATCAGAGGGAAAAGTGACTCTGAGGACAGGGTGATGGAGAGTCAAGCTTAAGTTGATAGTAAAACTGAAAGGAAAAGAAAGTATTAGTTAAAAAGCAGCAAGAGTGTAAACATTCTAGAATCACAGAATCATAGAACCATTAAGGTTGGTAGTGTTATTTTATCTGACCTCCAAGATAAGAGTCCAACCTTTGACCAAACACCCCTTGAACTAAACCATGGTGCTGAGCACCATATGTAGTTGTTTCTTGAACAATTCCAGGAACGGTGACTCCATGACCTCCCTGGGCAGTCCATTCCAATGCTAACCACCTTCTCAGTGAAGAAATTCTTCCTGATGCCCACCCTAAACCTCCCCTGGCACAGCTTGAGCCCATTTCCTCTCATCCTGTCACAAGAGTTTGTCTGGTGCTATAGTAAGCTAAGAAGAGTCTGACCCCCCCCTTACTACAGCCTCTTTTCAGGTAGTTGTAGAGAGCAGTAAGGTCCCCCCTGAGCCTCCGTTTCTCCAGACTAAACACCCCCAGCTCTCTCAGCTGCTTCTCATAGGATTTGTGTTTCAGACCCTTCCCCAGCTCTGTTGCTCTTCTCTGGATTTGCTCTAGCACCTCAGTGTTCTTGCAGTGAGGGCCCCAGAATTGGACACAGGAATCAAGGGAACAATCACTGCTCTTGTCCTGTTGGCTGCATCATTTCTGATACTGGCTAGATGAAATCAGGTTGGAGATCAGTACAACTCATTCATGAGCACCAAAGCAAGAAAGAAGAGATAAGACCAGGGGCCAAAGTAAGTAAAGAAAAATGACAAAACAGCAAATTGTTTGGAAATACAGGAAGATGGGAGGCAGGGGGAAAGCCAAAGGCTTTCCTACTTATCAGCATTTCTTTTCTAATTCTTTCCTGCTGTCTTAGGAATCAGGTTTTCTTCTATTCCTACAGATTTCTCCTCTCAGGTCAGAAGGCATTTCGTACTATCAGCTTTCCACAGGCTTCATGCTGCTGCTCCGTAGGCAGGAGAAAACAAATCCCCACTGGGAGTAAACTTCAGATCTTATTCAGAGATTAACCTGGGGCAGCAGCTTTGACCCTCCCCCAGTGACCCAAGACAGCCACCCCCTACACACACCTGCAATCACACTTTCAAAGCACCTCACAGCATCTCATTTCCAAAGTAATGAAACTGTTATATAACATTAAGCATTACTGTTACTAACCAGTTACTTTCTCAAGAAATTCCTACTTCTCTGACGCAGAAAAGCCTCTTCCCTATAGAAAGACAGATGGACAGGAGGGAAAACTGGGGCATGACAAACTTTGGCTACCCAAAGTGCTTGATGCCCAGCTGAAGCAGAACTGAGGCTTTGACAAAAATCTTTGAAGTTCTGCTTCCCAAATTGATGAATACCAGAATCTTAGGAGAAACTGGAAATTACTGAACAGATGAAAAAACCCAACCCTTTAGGTATTGCATGCACGAGATACGCAGTAACCAGCTGCAGCTCATAGCGTGAAAGGGTGCTTTATTTTGTTACAGTACAGATTCAGTCCAGTTCACAGAGAACACATCAGTTAATACATATCTTCACTTTGCAGAAGAAATGGGCATGAACACACGAGCGCTCAGTCACCAGCCTTTTATAGCCAATTATACAACTTTTACCTCTAAAGCATCATGTATGGCACACAGGTTTCACTAGCATTCCATAGAACAGCACAGTAACGTCAGCTCTAGAAACACGGGAGAGGAGGATGTAAATCTCAAGGACTGAGAAACTAAATATATATACACTGCTTGGGAATTTAACTTTCAAAATCCTGGTTTTGACTAGAAAGTTTGCTTTGAAAGACTGTGTCCCTGAATATATGTTCTTCCTTGAGGCACATGTTCAGGTTCGGGCTATGGATAACAGTCTTTACTTCAAGCAGCCACTGAGAGCTGAGGATTCGGAGCAGATAGAACTGTCTGGAAAACAGGTCTCCACGAGCTGCAGTAGCAGCTAACAGGTAGAGTACCTGAATCTCAGCAGCAAAAATCTCCCATGTTTAACCATCTCATTACCTGAAACCTGAAATAGCAATGAAGGCAATGATGTTAGCTAAGTCAGTTCCTGTTACCCTACCAAACTTACCTTCCTCCCTAGAGGCTTTGGGCTTTTTTAAGCACAACACAGGACTCAAGACTCCAAAAGCTCATCTACTTGCCCTGCACATCCAGGCTTACACCAGGTGGCCCAGAAAAAGACACTATTGCTCTTCACAAACCCTTCATTACTTACATCAAATTTCTTTGACACATCCAGCACAAACTCTCCTCCATCAGCTTAGAGGTCCTACTGTTAAGTAAATAAAGCTGGTAACTGCATACACTATCTATCTTCTATGTGGAAAAAAACCCCCAAATCATCTTTTGGGGGGAGATTAAAGGATGCCTTCTTGTAAACCATGTTGGCTGTAAGGGTAATAAAACCCCAATATCCCCATTAAACCAGAAGGAACATGGAAAATACTCACAGAATGAAGATGACAGGCCAGAAAAAAAGGACTATGAAAGATACTTGAATGCTTCAAGTAGGTTAGATTTTCAAAGCTATTTTAAATGTTTTGTGCACCTAACTTGCTCCTGCATACTCTATTATTATTCTGACCTTTCCACCTAATTACTTTTCTGTCCTCTCAAAGAGCAACACCAAATGAGAAAACAGATCACAGGAGAGAAAGACAATGAAAGCAGTGTGTTAACATCTGCTACCATGTACAGAAAGTATGCCACAGGCTGTTAAATGCAAGAGCAGCACAGCAACTTTCATTTTTCCTCTACTTAAGTAATCACAGTTTGAAATGTTTAAAAGACAATGTCCCAAGTTCATGCCCAAACTCCTCAAAGTTTTAAACACAGCATCTTACAAGTGAAAGAACACTGTCTGCCTTTTTATTTGTAAACCAGTTTGAAATATCTTATCATATACTTTTAATTTCATTTTCTAAAGAAACAGTACTAAGAACTGAAAGAATAGTGTGCCATTAAATGTTAAGGACCATACTTGTAAAAACCTTTACTAAAAAAGGTTGTATAGGTATGATGAATTTACGTCATATTTTAAAGTCAACTACTGAAGCATCTAAATGATTGAAGTGCAAAATTGGAAGTCCAGTCACAGATGAGGCTGTAGAGTTGTGCTCAAGATAGAAGAGGTCTACCCATGGCAGGCACAGCTGCACACTCACAAGCTACCTCAGCCTGTCCCAGCCATGACTCCTGCAGATCTGAAGCAACACCACTGATTAAGTCAGTTTGATCTACTTTATATAAATTCTCCCTTTCTAATAAGAAGGATATTAACTAAAGCTTTCAGTTAGGCAACAAAACCTTTCTAATTAGCAACAAAAAATAAAAAGTGACATGCTTGCTCTGTTTCAGGCACTTTCAAGATCATAGTTTATTTACTGTAGGTAAAAAGCTAGTATACAGATTAAGGGATCCCTTAAATTTCAACTCTACAGTTATACACCATCTAGTATTCTTGTTCTGAACATTAACCAGAAGTTTCTAAACACCTGTAAGCCCCACTATAAGTCTGCATTGTTATGAGGAAAACAATATATAAATCAATGCTTAATCTTTTCAATGCATAATATTTACATTGTGAAACTGATGGGAAATAGCAAGCAGTGGCAAAGAGGCAGTAAATTTTAAAAAGCCAAAGTTTTATATAAGTTTTGGTTGGGTTTTTTTTATAATAGTGTGCTAATCAGCATAATTGTATATATAAAAATTAAAATATAGCAGAGCATCCCATTACTGAAATCTGAATTGTCTGAACTGCAGTCATTACTTGCTAACCATTTACATGCAACACCTGCTAGGACTGACTGTTTGATTTTGAAGTATAAAATAAGTCTAAGGTTTAAGAGACAAACATTAATTTGCATACAAAACTGAAAACTGCACTCAAGAATTGTACTGGTCACGAGCCTCTTCCACACAGAAGGGGGAAGGAAAGAAAAAAGTACAAACGACAATAGAAAGCAGTCTCTCCCCACTCACTAATTTTCAAAGGCAATGCATAGACTGAGAATACCTGGATGGCAAACTCTAGAGACTCTGGAAACAAACAGCTTTCACATACATGACCTTGGCAGGAGGCCTTTCCTTCCACTGAATGGCAATGGCTGACAGCAAGTTAAGGGGCACCAGGTGTACAAGTAGATCTTGCAAAATACTAAGATGGGGCAGTTGTTAATATACAATTTGAACTATATATACAACATAATGGAATGTATCCCATCCCCAAACTGGCTTATGAAACAATTGGACCTTTCTATGCTAGCCTTATGACTCAGCTATCACTCTAATGAAAATATAAGTACACAAGAGACTTGCATGAAAAGTAAAATCTATGGGGCATTTTACAGGAACTATTGACAAAGCTGCCTAATGGCATTTCTGCTTTTGAAGTAATTTTGTTAGATATAATTGAAAACATCTGTGTATAAAATGTCCTGACAGACACTTCAACATGGAGCTTTGGTGACTTAAACCATTTCAAGAACAATGAGCTGAAAAATAGACTAAACAAAGTACTTAGGGTAACTCAAACTGAATAGGAAATGGAATGCCAATATGGCAGTTAAACCTTTTTCTGTTGTTTTTAAACAGCAAAGTCTCTTGTACCAGCAGAATCCTGTATACAGATTAACAGAGAAGTGGGGACTACACCACTTATAATTCCCATTAAACGAGAGCCAATTCAGCATGTGAGAAGGTACAAATTACAGAAAAACATGAATACTCAATAGGAGAGAAACAACTGGTTTACATGAAAAGAAGAGAGAGAACACTTCAGTCTGAATGCAGTTATTTTGTGAAAGCTGCCACAACAGCCCACAGAACCTCATTCGTGTTGGTTTTCATACATTCAACCTCAGGGTCTAAATCCAGAAGCTGCCGCACTCTCTTTGTGGCTAAATCATACTGCTCATCCAGGAGGGGGGCAAAAGCGTTCTCCAGAACATCCGACGCGTGGGCTAAGTACACGAGTGCCAGCAAGCGCTTGTCCATGCGGTGAGGGTCGTTCACCCACTTGTCAAGAACTGCTTCCTGAACCTTCTTGATGAGGCGCTGTTTGATGTTGTTGTTGGTGAGAGGGTGCGTGGTCATGTCAAAAAGGAGGAAGTTCTGTTTCTCTGTTGTCAATACACCTTTTTCCACTAGATTTTTAGCTAATCGTTCACGGACATTTCGTAGTTGGTAGTGCAACTTCAGTGGGTTCCATGTTTCACCTACAGAGCGAGCAAAACACAACAGTCGGACAAAGCTTAAGCTGCATTACTGCAGTGATTTTTCCCCTCTCTGTGATGCAGAATGAGCTGTCAAATCCACACAGCTGAGAATTACACTAGGACACTGTGCTCCTGTCAGCATTTCTCTGATCTCTGACCTACCCAGCTACAGGCACAGAGGCAGACCAGGAGAGCCTCCTCGGAGGGGCTCTGGGATACATCTAATGTTTGGATGAAACCCCAGCTAAGCCATGTCTTGATTAAGGATCTGACAAATAAGCAGTCTTGTACTGAAGAAAAATAAACCAAACCCCAAACCAGTCATGAATAAAGATGTTACTTTTAATAATGTAAATAAAACCAAGTATCACGTACAGACTTGAGCCTTTGTCTGCATTCAGCCTTTCCCCATTTCAGAGGCTGGAAGAAGTGTCATTGCCTTTGTTTTGCCTCACAGAGACAAGCCTATGCACACAATGCTGTGGATTTCTTTTATTTCTTCAGGTTTCCACTCTCCTCTCCCCACCTGTGCCCACCAGTGCAACAGTGACCATGCACTGAGTGGGTGTGCACACATGAAGCACAGCTAGGGCAGGGCCTGCCCATGTTTCTACAGAAATGATTTCTAGTGCTTTTAGTTAAGACAAGAGAGCTGAGTCCTTCAGAGAGCACAACTGTGTGCAGAGAGGAAGAAATTGAAAAAGCACTAAATGAGCACCAACAGCTATTAATAACGCTAAAACTGTTTAGCAATGAGGATTCCACCTTTGTTCAAGAGTTTACTTAACAGGCCAAAAATTTAAGTCCAGCTTACCTAAGTATTTATTGTAACTATTAAAATCCCCTCCTGATGCAAAAAGACTATGCATTTTAAGAGGCAAGAAAAGAAACATCATTTAGTACCGCTTACACAGATGGAGGTTTCCTATAAATGATGAGAATTTGTGTACCAAACCTTTAAAAAATTTCCTGGTTAACAGAAAATAATAATTGAAACAACAGTAACAATAACCCACAGACGACTTTGAGGTTTCTGCCTCTGTGATGGAGGGTGACATACACTGTATCCAAGCAGCAGACAAGTTGTAAGCAAATGAGGTGACTCCAACTGCACAGTGAAAGGCAAAGAACCCACACAGGCCTGAACTACACAAGTCCCTGTAGGTCCCACACGCCATTGAATGTGATTCCCCAGTTTGACCATGAATGGTTGATACATACAGGAAAAAAAAGTAGTTTCCTTACTACCTTTCAGAGGGCAAAAGCTATTTCCTAGAATTCTATATATTTGTTAGGTGGATAAAAGTCAGTGCTGTGCTGACACCTTGTGACCAAGCTCCTCAATTACAGAGACACTTGCTTGTCCAGACACAGGCAGATGTTTCCTACATCCACAGGAAACCTGACATTTTGATCCAGACTTCTGTATTCCCT